AATATGATTAAAACTATATATAATAACCAATAGGCAAAGGTAATGGTAAATGGTGATATGACAGAAAAGATAGCGATTACGAAGGGAACTAGACAAGGATGTCCACTATCACAATTACAATTTATACTGACACTAGAGATTTTGAATAGAGAAATACAACAATATAAAGAGGTAAAAGGTATGAGGGTCAAGAAAAAAGAATATAAATTACAAGATGATTTGGTGTTTATTATGGAGAATCCAATAGAACAGGGCCAAAATAATAGTTAATAGTTAATAATAGTTAAAATAATAGAAGAATATGGAGAAGCAGCCGGTTTGAAGATTAACAAAAATAAAACAAAAATTCTGGTGAAAAATATGACAGAAAAACAGAAAAGAGAGTGGATGGGGAAACTGGACATACAAGTGGTGAAAAAAGTGAAACATTTGGGATTCAATTGACATCAAGGTGTGCAACACTAAAGACAGATAACTATTATAAGGTGATAAAACAAATAGAAATAGACTTGGAAAGATGGGAAAACCTACAATTATCACTGATTGGAAGAATAGCAGTAGTAAAGATGAATATACAACCAAGATTGTTATACCTGTTCCAAACAATACCACTAAAACTAGAGAAAAAATTCTTTGAAAGTATGAACAAAATAGTGGGGAAATATATGTGACAAGGGAAAAAAGCAAGAATTAATATAAAAATGTTATAAGATGCAAGGATTCAAGGTAGATTTGGATTACCAAACTAGGAATTGTACTATCAAGCAGTGGGTCTAGCTTGGATGAAAGAATAGATTTTACTGAGAAATACAAGATTATTGACACTGGAGGGGGATGACTTGCAATTGGGTTGGCATGCTTTTTTGTGGTTTCATAAAAGTAGGGCACATGGCTATTTTCAACGACATGTAAGGAATGGATTATTAACAATATGGGAAAGAGTAAAAGGGAAATATTATTCAGAAATATCAATGTGGCTTTCAACAATGGAAGCATTGACACATCCAAATATTAGTAGTATGAAAAATATTATTAGATATAAAGATATCTTAACAGAAAGGGGGGAACTAAAACAAAAACAAGAATTAGAAAAACAAGGGATTGATATAGGTTGTTTTTCACAATTGCAAATACAATCAAGATATGAAAAAGATAAAAGGGAGTATGGTTTTAACTTTGGAAGTTCAGAGTTGGATAAGATACTTATGAGAACGGGAGAAAGAATAATCAAGGAATTATATAGCTACCTATTAAGAACTATGCTAGAAGAAGAAGTGGTAAAAGGTACAATGTTAACTTGGGCAAAGAATTTTGGCCATATGATTGAACTAGAAAAGTGGCAACAACTATGGGAAAGGAATTATAAATTAACCATGCCAACAGCTTACAAAGAAAACTTATACAAAATGTTTTACAGTTGGCACATATCACCAAGAAAACTAGCTAAGATGTTTAAAGACAAGTCAGCGAAATGTTGGAAATGTCAACAAGCAATAGGTTCATACTACCACATGTGGTGGACATGTGCAGAAGCAAAGAAATATTGGACTAAAATAAGAGTATGGTTAAAGAAAATGTTACAATTGAGACCAGATATATTTTTACTAGGTATTATCCCAAAGAAATTCAAGAAAGTGGATACTTAGTTGATTATACATGTAACTACAGCAGCAAGAATTGTGTTTACCCAAAATTGGAAATTAAATAAGCTATCAGCAGATGAAGAGATAATAAAAAAGATATTAGATTGTGCAGAGATGAATAGGTTGACAATGAACATAAAGGATAAAGAGAAATCAGAGTATTTCAAGACATGGGGAAGGTTCTATGACTGGCTAGAAAAAGCAAACTAGAAAAGAAAGTAGGGAGAAGATAAAGTACCCAGATGACACACTATTAAATGGAAAAGGGGGGGAGAAGGGGAAAACAGAAAAGAAAATATTAAATATATAAGTATATATTCAAGAGTGAAATATAAAGCGGGGGAACATAACTAGGGTAGACTAGCGAAGGTAAGAGAATAAGAAATGATACTAAATTATATTTGGGTTGGCGGAAATACCATCCCAAGGAAATATAAACTGAGTTTTGAAACATACACCAACAATAATAGAAAAAGAAAGGGAGAGAGGAGGAGAGAAAGGAAGGAAAATGTGGGAAAGAAGAAAGAGGTAAGGAGAGGAGGATGGAAGGGGGAGAAAGAGAAGGAGAGAGGGTAAGAAGGGGAAGAGGAAGAGCAGAAGTAGAAGAAAGGGAAGGGAAGAAGGGAGGAGAAGGAGAGGAGGAAGGAAGAAATTAGAAAAGGGAGGGCAAAAAGAGAAAGCATTCTACTATAGATTCTGTTACAGAAAAAAATGGATATTTCACTACAGAAAAAAAGTACTCGACATGGATTCACTGCAGAGTTTCCAAGTAGATCATTGATTAAAAAAGAAAGAGTCTGAAGCGAAGTTTTATTATTTTTCCATGGATGGAATACAGTAGCAATTGAATTCACTTACCCACTATTATGGCGTGGCTTTGAGGTCTTTTCTGTTTGTAACATTTATCATTTCTAGTGACTAAAGCAGTGCTGACACATAGAGAATCCATATGATCATTGCAGCATTGCCATGGTGTAAAACACAACGATATCAGGCCAAACATCTGTCTAGTGAATTATCCTGTTTTATATAGAGTCATAAACTAATCCAATCTAAAACCAGCAGTGTTGCAACAATCTCAGCGTGGGATTGGGGGAAGGGAAGATTAGAAAAAGTGAAGATCATAGCCACAACTGTCTGACTGAAGTCACCATGTAGCAGGGCATAATTCTTGGTTGGAAGAAAATGATACATTTCAACTTCCGAGATTCCCCTTTCAACTCAAATAGCTAGCAACCAGTAGAAGGGAAAGGCCCTGGACTAGAATGGAATGGAAATGGTCACCAGTAAAACGGAAAGGTCCAGCAATGGTTACTATAGGTGTTGTTGCTCTGCTGATGGTAGTCAATGTGCAGACCATTAGGGGATTTCTTCTAAGTTGAGTACAAAGCTCTTCATTTCTCTCACAGGCACACTGAATCCTTTATCATTTTTCACAATAATGAGCACAGAGGAAAGCTTACCTAGAATTGCCAGCACCATGCTATCTTTTAGAACTTCCATGGAACCTGAGCACACAAGATAGATAGCTTGCAAGGCATCTCCCTGCCGGAGGAGGTACTCCCCAGGAGCACAAAAGGAGGTTTTGATATGCAAAGACAAAGACCTGAGGCAACCCCGACTGGCACACTCAAAAAGGGAGAGTTGCAGAATCTCCTTGTTCAAATGCATGGTGATGTCTGAGCGCAGCTCATCTGGAAAATCTTTAAGAAGCTGTCCAGAGGGGGAAGACATATTTTAATTCAGTAGCTGAATGGTTAATGCACGGAACAGTTAACCCTGTTATGCTAACTTTCCTATTTTTACATTTATTAAAATAAAATTTTGTTGCATTTACTGATTTATTGAAAGGGCTCTTCAATGAGAAGAGAAGCGGCCAAATTTGGGGGACAAATTTGGAATTATATATCTGTTTTATTTATTTATTATATCTGCTTATAACATTCAACCAAAATGACTAAATAGATCTTTTCCAAAATTGAAATAATAAAACAAAAACCTTTTACCTCATGGGAATCTATTCCATTATTGACAGACCAAGTGGTTTGGAAATATTCCAGCATTCTTTGCTTTAATTGCTGAGGCAGGTGATGGACCCTTATAAAATCTTTGAGATCCTTAGTTCTTGTGTGATAAAGGGACCACCTGGAGTACATCCTCTGAATGATAGCAGTCACATTACCAAAAACCAAGGCGTGCATTAAAGCTATGAATATAGAAAGTATATTAATAGGGTAAAAGACATTATTGAAACAGGCCAGACTTTAGACTAAGGCCAAGTAGGCACTGGCCTAGAGACCAAAGCTTATAAACACCAACACTTCTGAATCTTTCTAAAATTGCAAATCTTTGTGTTGCTGGAAGGCAATGCTTTAATCAAAGGGCCCTAAGGGAAGCCATGCACCCTTCAGCTGATCATAACTAAAAATTACCCAATTAAAACTCAACTGATAAGAAATGGTAGAATCTCTCTCTCTCTCTCTCTCTCTCTTTCTCTCTCTCTCTCTCTCTCCCTCCCTCCCTCCCTCCCTGTCCCTTTCTCATTTTCACAGAATTTTCAGATGTTTTTTACAGATGAGTTATACCATTTAATGATTTGCTAAGAAAGCAATCTGAAAAATAGAAATTCATAAATATGTCTATGAATTTTATAAATAATTTATCAGAGGAGATTTAAAAATACCTAAAATATTGGAAAGTTACATATATAGAATGTATATTCAGAACATTACTTTGCTGTGTTACTTTCTTTTGAGCTAAATATTGGTATGCAGTGGAGAAGGCAGTGAAAAATTTAAGCCAAAGAAATTACAACACATAATAAGAAAATATAACTGAATTTTACAACATTCACTAATTTTCTATTCCTTGCAAACTATCCTGCTTCATAACTTTTTATCCTTGCAAATCATTTTGCTTCCATTGGATCAATATTCCAATCATACATTACCTTTTAGTATTAAAAATTATCTGTTTTTATTGAACTCATCATTTCAATTTTCCAGTTTTTAACCTATTTATAATTCCTTCATATATTTTTGCTTTGAAATTAGATCCTGGATCATTGTTTTTATACAATGAAATGCACTTTCATATGGATCATTCAGTTTTGTATTAATTTATGGTCATTCATCCCCCACTTGTTCCTGATCAGTGGTGGGATTCACTTAGCTTCCCTACCAGTCTGCACATGTGAGTGTGCATGCCACATCTGTACATGCACACTGCCTTCTGCACATGCACACTGCTTGCGCATTACGTTGGGGCGGGTGGGCGGAGCCTCCTTCAGCCACCGCTATCGGTTCACCCAAACCAGAGAGAATTGGCTGAATACCACCTCTGTTTCTGATACTAACCAATATGGTGCAGTGAGTTTTGTTTTACGCCATTGTATCTTTTCTCAGTATCCCCTTCCCACTGCATTCAACTTAATTTTAGTTTCTTCCTCACTTGCATATAACAAATCAGGAAGCAGCATGTCCTTATTGGCAACCATTTTTACTTTTTAAAAAACATATTAGATAATATTTTTTTCCTTATCTTCATTTTTAAGCATTCATTTTATTACATGTATTTTTTCTAGATCTGTATGTTTTTCAGTTAACTTTTATTTTTTCTCTTGGATCACATATACTCTGAATGTAGCATATTTTTTTTTTTGCTAAAATCATATCTTGTTCCTCTGTTAACAACATTCCATAGAATATAATATGCAACTATCACCAACTCAGGCATTTCTTAAAGTTATATGCCTTTAAAAATGCATACATAACTGAAGTTCATATTTTCTAACATACATTTTATTGATAATAAGCCTATACTTTTTCTTTCTGACTAAGACCAACTGATTTTCCTTTCCTTTCCTTTCCCCTTCTCCTTCCCCTTCCATTCTTCTTTGTAATGGTTGTCACCAGACAGACTTATAGATATTGTCTATCAGTACTTATTATGGCATTGGTAAATTATTTGAATAATTATTATATTATAATGCAATTATTATATAATTCTCATATAATGATTTGCCTTTAAACACCCTCATCCACCAAACTGTCTCACATAATATTTATCGGCTACCCTATCTATAAAAATTCTGGGCAAGTTACAAAACAATCCAATAGATCTCACATCTCACCCAATTAGTAGGTTTATCTTAATCATGATGAAGACAACAAGAAGATAGGACATAAGGGACAGATATTTATTTTTATTATTTATGTATACATTTATTTGCCACCATTCTCATTTTGAAGTGACTTACAACATTAAATAATGTACATCTATTTTTTAAAATTGTAGAATATAACATATTACTAACTTAAATGGGACAAAGTATGTTATCTACAGGTGTCCTTAACCATTTGTTTAGAGACTGTTCAAAGTTACACTGAAAAATGTGACTTATGATCAGTTCTTGCACTTGCAACCATTGTAGCATTCACATGGTCATATGATTAAAATGGGTGCTTGGCAATTGAGATGTATTATCAACATTCTGGAGTCATGTGACCACCGTTTGGAACCTTCCCAGCAAGCTTATGATAAGCAAAGTCAATGGGAAAGCAAGATTTGCTTATTTATAGGATAATTTAGCAATGGGAGCTCTGTTTCCAACTGTGGCCATAAGTCAAGGGCTACTTGTATATGCTTGCTCTGCTGATCAATTATTTTCATATGTAGTAAAAATATAATTGTTCAGCAAATGTTTATTTTTGCTTTGCTGCCAATATGTATGTATAAAATGATCTACATAATATTTCAGAAAAGATAAATATTTAATTTAACACTGATTTATCCTAGCTATTCTAGCTAGAACCTAACAAAAAATATCCATCATGTTCTGCATATCAGGAACCACTAAACAATAAAGTCTAATCATGAATAATTTCACATACATATTTCTAAGCAAAGAAACGATTTATTTTACTTGTTTATAAAATTACAAGAATGTTATTTCATAATTTTCCCCAAAACCATATGTTATCTCCATTAAACTGTATCCACACAAATATGTGAGTTTTCATTTCTTCTTTTAATGTGTGCATTTGTTTGTTTGTTTGTTTGTATTAGGAATATAATCTAACGGTTGGGTTGGCAATATATAAATCATGTAACAATGCTGTACCTGTTTCTTTAAATCATNAACAGAATATGACTATGAAGATATATGTATACTAGGAGACTTTAATGCAATTGTAAATAATGAAATAGACTATAAATCTACAAAGATGAACAAGAGGCCAAGAAAAATTCTACCCAAAACATTTTTCACAATGGTGAAAAAATTAAACTTGCAAGATGCTTGGAGAAGAAGACCTGAAAGAAAATATACATTCTACTCGAATAGACATTTATAGTGGTCAAGAATTGATATGATGTGGTTGTCAACAGAGCTGATGCTCAAAACAACTAAGATAGACACAGATATAAGCACATGGGCTTATAATCCAACAACAATGACTTGGAAGGGACATAGGAAAAATGGGAGATGGAAAATAGTTTCCAGCAATATATGAAAAAAGAATTGACATATTTCTTCCAGGAAAATAGAAAGGAAAACACATCATTACAGAATGTATAGAACAATTGCAAAGCATATATCAGAGGCCTTGCAATGACATACTTAGGGAAAAAGAATAGACAGAACAGACAAATTTAAAAGAAGTTGGAATTAGAGTACAAGAGTCTGGAGATGGAGCTGCAGAAAAACCCACAAAATAAAAAAGCAAAAAATATGATGGAACCGCAAAAACATAAATTGAACCTGATAGAAAATGAGGACTTGGCAAATAAAATAAAACCAGCAAAACAAAACTTCTTTGAAAACGCAAATAAACCAGGATTTTGGCTGGCTTACAAGATGAAAAAGGAAAGAGAAAAAAGGCTGATAAATCAACTGGTGGATGAAGAAGGTAATATACAACATTTAAATGTAAAAAAAAGAGAACAATAATTGAGAACTTCTACAATAAGTTGTATCAACATGAGAGGGTTCCAGAAGGGAAAATAAGATAATATTTAGAGAAAACTAGAATAACCAAAATCCCAGAAAAATTTAAGAAGGCATTAGAATTACAATGATGCAATTACAATGATGTAATGATAACAGAAGACATCAAAAGGTAAAAGAAGGGGAAAACACCAGGACCAGATGGATTATCAGCAAAACTGTACCAAACACTACAAGAACTATTAAGCAATGTAATGTTGGAACTATTCAATAACTTATTAAGAGAGGCAAAAATGCCAGAAACATGGACAGAGGCATATATAATGCTTGTACTAAAAGAAAAGTCAGATTCACAACTAGCAAAGAACTACAGACCTATTTCACTATTAAGTGTGGATTATAAAATTTTTGCATCAATAATGGCAGAAAGAATAAAGAGACTTTTAAATGAATTTATACACATAGACCAAAATGGATTTCTTCCCAAGAGACAAATCAGAGACAATATGCAGAATATGCCCACCCAGAAAAACAAATGGGGTTGTTGTTTCTAGATGCTCAAAAAGCCTTTGATAATGTGAACTGGCAATTCATGATAATGCAACTTCAAATGATGGGATTTGCTGAGGGATGTATAAATNAGATTAATTTATGAAATTTATTTCCAATTCCTGTAAATGTATAGGATTGTGTAAGCTTCTTGTGTATAGGCTATGGATTAATCAAATATATGGTGTTAGATGTATGACATGAACTAGCATTTTAGAATGCTCCTAGCTATAGTATTTTAGAAAATATATTACATATGTACCTATATCTCTTGAAAGACTGATAAGGTAGTATTTGCCCTGCAAAAGTAATGTTACTTTCAGTGTTAATGAATGGTCCTAGTTTAGAATCAACTGTTTACCATTTGGATTTTTTTAAAAAAAGAATAGTGTTTGTTCTGACTTTTGCTCATCTTCACCTTTGAATGAAAACATCATGAAATGATGTTAATATATTTTTAAACTCATTTACTTACCCCCAATCAGCATTGTGCAAATGGAAAAAATCTTTTCAGCATCCGTATTGGCTGAAACATTGCCAAACCCAACACTGGTGAGGCTGCTAAGTGTAAAATACAGGGCAGCAATATAGGCACTTCTGAGTGATGGGCCTCCTGATGTGTTATTGCCAAAATATGGAGATTCCAAACGTTTTCCTAGTTCATGAAGCCAACCTAGGGAAAAGGAAGCAAGATTGTCATAGTATATATAAAAGACAAAATATTGTTTAATCAATTACTTTAAAATGATTTAACCTCATTTGCAGTTCCTGAATGATATATCAGTTATAATGTGATTGTATCTCAGATTACACACTTCAAACTCAATGACACAAATTTCAGCTCAAAACTGCTGGCTAAAAAACTAAGTAACCTGCTTTGACATGATCTATCAGAGAAAATCGCATGCGATACTGTATGGATTTGGAAAGACTATATAATTAAGTAATTGCAAATATGTGGTGTTTATTTTTGCAATAGTGGTGAATATCTGTAGCTCAGGTGTAGGATAAAAGTGCAGGTTCATTCTCCAAGGTTATGGGTTGGTTTTTGAATGATTCATTAGTAGGCTATGTAACATCTTCACCAGACTTTAGGGAATGTCATTGTCAGTGTTCTTCCGTTTATAAAGGCTTCATATGGTCAATAAATCTTGTGATGGGTCATGTGGAAGTCATCAGTGGGAGTCTTATGATGGGTCTTGTGATGGGGATGTTACATCAGGTGAGGGTCATTGGGAGGTGAAGTGCTGGTTGGGGGGCTTGCATGGGTTGGTTGAGGGCCGCTATCTTTGATTAGCTGTGTGGTTGATTTGGATTCTGAGGGGTTTGTAGGCTGGTTGTAGGTCAATGTGTCTGTTGATGGAATTGCTTGTGGAGTGCCAGGCTTCAGTGAACTCATGAGTGTTCTGGGTGGTAGTGTAGGTGATGATTTTTGTGTTACTCCAATTGAACTGGTAATGTTTGGTACTGGTATGAGTAGAGATAGAGGACTACAGATTGTGACGCTTGACAGCCTGCCAGTGTTCGTGGATCCTGTTTTTTTAAATTAACGTGATGTTTGTCCAACATAGAATTGGTTGCAATTGTTACAGTTTATTTTGTAGATTATGTTGTTTCTTTCATCCTTCTGTATCTTTTCTTTGGTTCTGGATAATTCCTGGCAGAGTGTGGCAGTAGGTTTGTGGGATATTGTTACTCCTAGAGGTTGGAGAATTCTGACTATCATTTCTGACATCCCCTTTGTGTATGGTAGGTTTAGTTTTTGCATGGTGGTTGGCTGTGTGGTGGTTTGGGTGCTATGTGTTAGAAGATGAAGTTTTTTACAGAGAAAGATGTCAAGCTACCGTTTATCTTCCACTTTTCTTTGTGTTTTGGTGCTGCAGTGTGTCCTGGCCCTTCTGAAGAGGTTCTGGACACAGCTTCCTTTGTATGCAGTGGGGTGGTTGCTTGCAAAGCTGAGGATGCAGTCTATGTGTATAGGTGTGCAATAGATGGGGTTTCCAGTTCTCTGTTGCCTAATATCCATATGTTGATGTCAAGAATGGAAGTCTATTGTCTGTTTCCACTTCACTTGTAAATTTGATCCCAGGGAATATGTTATTGAATAGATAATGTATTTCTTCTATTTGGGAGTGTTTGATGATGATGAAGATGTCATTGATGTAGCATGTCCAGAATTTTGGTTGGATGTGGATACAGCTATGGATTCAAGTAGTTGCATGATTGCTTCTGCTATTAGGCCTGATATGGATGAGCCCATTGGAGTACCTTGTACTTGCATATAGATTTTCCCATTGAATCTGAAGTATATGTTGAGACATAGATCAAGAAGTTTCATGATGATTTCTGTGTACAGTGAATGCTCTGTGGTGACATTACCTTTGTGGTATGGTGTTTACTGAGAAGATAGTGTATGGTTTGTTTAGCCTGGTCAATGTCAATTGAGGTGATATCAAAGAAGATCATGATTTCTTCCTTGTTGATCTTATTTATATATTAGTATGCTTTAAATTACAGAATGAGAAGTAAATTAAACAGAATGCACATGAATTTGATGTGATTTTGAAAAAAAGTATAACTCTAAAGTTAGTAAGTGATATGTTTGTATTATTTTTAAAATAGTTACTATTTTATTTTTAATAGTGATTTTATTTATATATGTATTGTTCTACTTATTGTTGTAGGCCAGGGGTTCCTAACCCTTGGATCATGGAATAGCACTGGGCTACGGCATGCCAGGAACCAGACCATGCAAACAAATGAAGCCCCATCTGTGGGATGCATGTTGTATCAGAGGTGGTATTCAGCAGGTTCTGGATAACTGGCAAATACCACCTCTGACTACCCCCACCCCCATCTATTCTCTGCCTCCTGAGTCCCAGCTGATTGAGAGGAAATGGGGATTTTGCAGTAAACTTCCCCTAGGGTTGGGAGGAAATGGAGATTTTATAGTATCCTTCCCCTGCCATGCCCACCAAGCCATGCCCACCAAGCCATGCGATGCCCACCAAGCCACACCCACAGAACCAGTAGTAAAAAAAATTGAATCCCACCACTGCATTGTATGCTAAACCACACCCCTTTGGTCTGCTGAAAAACCTTTCTGCATGGAACTAGTCCCTTGTGCCAAAAGGTTGGTGGCTGCTATTGTAGGCTACCTGCATAACTTTTTGTGAGATGGTCAGCCAAATAAATAATTGGCTAGATACATACATACATACATACATACATACATACATACATACATACATACATACATACATACATACATACAATTGAGCAGATAGGATTTTCAAAATACCTAACCAACCTGTTGCAGCATAACAACATTATTGAAAAAAGGGTTATGAAAAGAAATATGTCCATCCGTATCATGCTAAAAACATTGAAAAAACTGCTGTGTAGACTACATAACCCATTAGAATTATTAATATTATACACTTCTAAGGCTTTTCTATTTTCTGTCAAACTCTACCTAGATTATCTTTCAACCCTTTTATATTAGCTTGTTTTATTTTATTTACCAATGAAAAGTATTGAAGAGTAAAGTCAAATAGAAACGTGCATACTTCTACTTCATTGTTACCAAATACTTAATTCCAAATATTTCTTTACCCCAAACAGCATAATAAAATAAATATACTATTCCATATTTTCTGTTCTAGATAATATGACTCTTCTTTGGACTTCATTCTGAAAGAAAAGCAAAAAGACTTCATTTCTAAAAGAAAACATTAGAGAAATGGAATTGGAATAGATAGAAATTAAATCCGAAGTGAGAATTTTTTGTTGTTGTACATTGGGCGGCAAATTGAGTATGGATATAACTCAACAATCATCCTGGTTATTTTCCAGTGTACAGGCAGATGGAAATGAAATGTAGTTTCATCTGAAGCATGTGACTTTCAGGGATCAGCTAAGCTACATAATGGATTGCAAATCACACAGATCAGCCCTGTGTACTTGCTCAAAAGGTTTAAAGGGCAATTAGCTCTTACATTTCAAACATATGTTGAAAAAATATCAGAACCAGAGCAATCACAATTAGACAGAAAGCTCTTATGATGCCATCAAAAGATTCATTTTAATCATTGTTACAAAATCAGCGAGCCTGGATAAACTTTACTATTCTGTACATTTGTCATATGAAGATAGGGAAAGCTCCTCAGCTAGAGTTTGAATGCTTACGCTAACAGAGAAATCAGCATTTGAGTATAGAAGTTAGCCTTTCTATATATTTAACAAAGAAAAGGCATGAGAAAAAATATTACAAGGATTTTTGGTTCACAAAACGAATTGAATGTGAAAGTCATGAAGAACAATTTGATTTTCTGGAACAGTTCCTTTTGTGTTTTGGAGGCCTAGCTTCTGCATATCTTATATTGGAAGCATAATATTCTGACCTATTTTGAACAAATCTTTCAGAGCTTTTCCTTCCTGGGTACTCTACTTTTGACTGTATATAAAGATTGAAAATGCTAATGCTTGAACATACAGTCAGACAGAAAAACTGAAATGCTTAGAATTCAAAAATCTCTTTTAGAATTATTTGTATGGCATGGCAAAACTTAAAATTCCTACATTCTTTCTTTCACTGTAGCAGAATTCATTGATTTGAAACATCAACAATATATTTGTGGTAAATTGTTATGTGAGGCTTTTTAAAAAAACTGGATAAACAGAATTGTAAATTTATACAAGTGCGTAGTCTTAAGTCTTTTTCGTAACAAAACATGGTTATTGTACTGATAGATAATGCCACATGGTATCTCTGGACTCAAGCTTGTAGAGTTAGCATTCATATCTTCTTAGAATAATTTTATCTTGCTTTCCCTCTGCAGCTCACACTTTTTGAAAGCTTATAACTAACTGCATTTGATAGTTTATGAAGTATGAAATAAAAGCACTAAGAGAGTGCATGCATCAAGTAGAGAATTCTGAATCTAAACTTGCTATAACCCAATACTGGAGCAACACGGGCATGAACAGTCTGACAATGAAAAGCATGAAGATGATTTTAAAAAATTCAATAAAGCTACATGAAGTTCCATAGAAATCAGACAAGCAAGGACCATAAAGAAATGAAGTTATCACTAGGTCACAAACACCTTCTGGATTCATGAGGTAGGATAGTTGAACAGATTCCTGCACTAATTAGTACATGACTTGATTTGCATTAGTCTTTAGCATTTTAACTTGAAAGAGTCTTAAATCAGATAATTATATAGTTCCCCCAATCAGTATGAAAAAAATACATTGAAAAAAAGTCAGAGCATATCTTTGATATACATTTGTTGTATTCTGGACCAACATAAGTCTCTTCCTCATGGAAGAGGTAAAATGCAACCTACATTAAGCCAGAGGAAAGCAATGTTGCTAGAAAATGCACTAGTATCACTGGTAATCCCTATTTTGCCACAGCTATTATGCAGTCAAATGATTCTGTCTTTATTTATAGAGCATTTTAAGGAGAAGGGATTATTGGATTCCCCAGCTCTCTTTTTCTCCCTTTGCATCAGGAGAAAAAAAATCTCTAGCAGTCATTCTTCTTAGTATGGGCTTGGGGAGGATATAAATGTTAACAATGGGATAATTTTAAAATGGTAAGTAGGAGCTTGGCTTATCATAGTCCATAAAGCCAACTGAAGTCCACAGTCCATAGAAGCCAACTCA